CTTGATCCCGAACCAAAGACACTCTCTCATACTAATTTTAAAAATTACTTAGTTTTACATATTTTCAATTTTGCAAAAGTTAATATCAAACTTATTTACTGTCTGATTGATAGCCACTTACTAGTACCATAGGGCTGCATATGGCTGTCACTTTCATTTGTGAAAAGCCTCCTTCTTCTAAAAGTTGTGACCAGAACAAGATGTGAGATTTAAAACAGCTGTAAGAACTAACACATGGCAAGATAGTGCAAGAAAAGGAATTTCATTATAGAAAAAAAAATTATTTATTGCATGTCCCTAAACCTACCATCAAATTCAAAGTTAACCTTGTAGATGGAGTAACAGAAAAGCAGTGTGGAGGCATTAAAACAGGTCTTACCCAACCTAAATAAAGGGCTTCAGTGTTTATGAAGATAAAATATTATACCTCTCTCTTAGAGATCTGTTGTGAAGTTGTTTTAGTTAGTTATTAGTTACCTGTCTTTTCTATACAGTCAAGGATGGCATTTGCATTTCTGTCAAACATAGGTTCCCTGCAAGAGAAATTTTCCTTGAATTAACAATTATTTTTAATTGCTCTTAATATGTCTAGTATACATAGATATGCCTTAAAAAAATAACTGGGCAGTAAATACAATCATAGTGATTAGGGAGATATTAATAATTTGTAATAGATAACAAATGTTAGTATACCATAAACTGTAACAGTGGATAGTTAGCATGGAGATGCACTCCGATTGGCTTTTTAAACTCCGATTGTCCTTTGCTGTTCACCTCTAAGTAATTCTTGCAAGATTTGCATCCAAAAATATTTTAATCACTGTAGGAATGAATGAGTTAAAGTCATCTCATTGTGCAATTTTATCTCACTGGCTTTGCAGCTCGATAAATATCTACCACCAGTCACCTCCACTTCCATGAATAGTTGTTACATTGTAATGATCCTAAAAATATAGTAAACGTTGCAATTGAGACTGTTACAACTGTGGATGTTGACTCTCTGAAACGCAGGTCAAAACAAGCTCACCTATCTCTAAAGTTATCATAATCAATTGAAAGGTCCTCTTCATTAGGGATGCATAACATTGTTCCTATTCCACATTCACGTAGTTCTTTTATTGTGTTCTGTATAGCTGGTAGAGTCTCCCCTGCCACAAACTGGCTATACATGGTATTGTGCAGTAAAAAGTCATGTTGAAATGAAAAGAAAAAAAGACAGTTATACTCAGCCCTTCCCTAGGGATGCTAATGAAGATGGGAGGGGAAAAGAAGAGTATGTACTTTGGTTTGACCATAACACTAGAAACTGGCCATTTATTATTTGGGGGTTGGGAGGTTCTAGTGCACTTTCATTTTCCTGCGTATAATCGCCATTTGCACCGTTTGTACCATGGCATAAGTAGTATCACTTCCCCCCCCCCCTCCCTAAGAGTGGCTTGTTATTGGTCCCTTCAAAGCTGTTTTCTTTAGTAGAAAGGAAAATGGAATACACATAAAAACATGATCCCTCGGAAATGGTTGCAAAATTTTCTGCAGTCTCTTATTTTCAGGCCCACAAGAAAGTTTGACCCCATCTCCATTTGTACAAGCCCACCCCCTCCCAACAAAAATATGTGGCCATTTCTTTAGAGAATCTATGTGTATCAAAAATTATTAATTGCAAAAGGAACTCTTATTTTCAGACCTCTCAGTCAGCAGTGTTTATAATATAGAGTGCCATTTAATTTATTATCCAGCCCTCCCCAGCTCCCATCTCAGCTCCTTCAACTTTAACTCCAAGAAGTGGTTAACATCCAACTTCTCCTTATTACATCTATACATTATCCAGTACACAGGTAGTGAGAATACTCAAAGGCATCAGGTACAAGTGGTCAATTTGATCTAAAACCAAATTCTCAAAACAAATTTGCAAGGAAATCTGTAGCAGCTGAAGGGGAGTATTCACCATCGGATCATGGGAGGCAAAGGGTTAGCAACAACAGACGTTGCAATACGGTCATGAATACTCTAGCTGTTTTCTACCCAATTGGCTTACAGAGGAACATTGTGCTACTTGCTTGGTGGAGAAGGAGAGACCTAGTGGAAATCTGACTGCCGTGGTTGGGGTTAAATTCCTGAGCGGATTGTACGCCGTGCAGTCTTTATGCCAGGGGTTGTTAATCCAGGTTTTCCTTTCTGCACGAGGATCAAACTCGGTTTTGATTTTCTTGTATAGGGCCCTTAAAATGGCATCTGACTACTTTGCGCTACGCGGTGAAGGAACGTTCGACGTCACAAATCGCAAAAATTGCGTATTTTTAGCATTTCACTTTCATTCCATCATCTCATCTTAGGATAGCGTAACGCGCAAATAAAGCGACGGCACTACGCTGCAAAACAGGGCAAAAATACGCACGCAAAGTGTAGTAACGGAAAAGCCGCGCTAAACGAACCATACTTGAGTTGCTTGCCTTTCAAAGCGAAAGTTGTCAAGTGATCCTCAGTTAATGCTGAAAGATATAATTTCTAAAACTGGAGCCAAAAAATTAGAAAGTGAAAATAGGACCTGAAAAAAAATTCAGGCTCGCACGGGCCTGAATTTCCAGGTCCTGTTTTCAACTACTCGTTTCAGTAGTGTTCTTAGCTGCAAGGATCTCTCAATTTCATCCCTTCACCGCAGTGCAAATATATGAATTTCATATATCTAAAATCATAATATATCGTCCCTATTTCAGCGGTTTATTACCACGAGAAGAGAGAAAAAGAAAAAAACAGAAATCTGTCGGAAATAACAAACAGCTTTTATTAAACGCATATTCCACAAGAATTGCATGCATCATATTAAAAATGAATATTGAATATTATTACAAACAACGAAGAATAAATTAAATTGCCTTTCAAATTGTATTTCGTTTTCATGTCATCACGTGGTTACTTTCAGTTGGATCTTTCGAATTCTTTGACTGTAACAAGAAATACAAATAAGAAAGAACAGTTACAAACCAGTTAACCATCCAACCTCATAAAATGGGTCATGCAATGAACCGTTCCCAGAGGCGTTTTATGTTGAAAAACAGGGCATATTTTCTACCGCGCCGTTCACTATTTCGCTCCGGCTTTTAATGACTGAACGCCTTAAGCAGGTTATTTAAAGGGTGGATAATTCTATCCAGCGGATAAGTCTTAAGAAAACGTACAGCACTATTCACCGTATTGGGATTTATTTAGTGGATAGCGTCATCCAATTTCGAACAAGCTGGCCTGTATCATTCACTAATCAACAGGCACCAGGCCCTTAGTCTCGTCGCGGCTAGTGTCCCAACCAAATACAGTAGTATCGTTGCGAGACAGGACTGATCATTGTAAGAGACTATCACATTTTGAGTGACGTTCTTTAGACTTGAGCGTACCTGTTTCCTGTTGGTGGCCCGCTGGACTGTGTCTTCGATACAACGGCCTGCTGTGACGCACGAAACTGAATGTCCAACTTAGAGAAAATGCCTCCTACAAACTACAAGACAGATAAAGATTGAGCTAACTTAATG